GGTTCCAATGTTACCCTTGCTTCTTTTCTGACTCCCTACATATCTTAAAAATGACTTTGTTATCCTTGATATGTGAAGCCAGATGGAGTTCGGTTGCAGCCTTGGCTTTCCTGATCCGCCCCCTGCAGGTACAGACCAGTGCTGAGTAATCCTCCTTGGAGGTAATTCCAACCTTCCATCCTTTATAAGTCTCTCTTTCGAGGCATAGGAGGTCCTTGAGTTCCCTGCTGACCCAAGGGGGTTGCTGTGCCCTTTTGCTACCCTTCCTCCGAGATGGGATGGCCATCCCTTGTGCTGTCAGGATTGCTCCCCTGAGGAGCAACCACTCCTCTTGGACTCCTCTGTCTGTCGAGTCGTGGTTCTTTAGGGCCTGGACAATGAGCCTCCTGAGCTTGTCAAAATCAGCTTTCCTGAAGGCAGGGACTTCTGCTTTGCTGACTGACTTGCCAGCTTTGCAATGGATAGTAAAGGTGATCAGCTCATGGTCACTATCACCCAGCTTTCCATTGATTCTTAGGTCACTGACTATGTCATCCCCTTCGGCCAGTACCAGGTCCAACAACGCTTTGCCTCTCATCGGTCCATAGACTTCTTGAGTCAGGTAGAGCTCATCCACGCATGCGAGGAAGCTTTACGACCCATCGGATTTGGCTGAATGCTCTTCCCATGAGATGTCCGGGTAGTTAAAGTCTCCCATAAGAACCATGCCCCGAGAACGTGCAGCCTCAGCCAGTTCCCTGGCAAATTCCTGGTCCAGCTCTTGTTTCTGGTTAGGAGGTCTGTAGTAGACTCCTACCATGATGTCCCCTAAGCCATGTTTCCCATGTATTTTGACCCAGAGAGACTCCAGTCATCCTTCCTGGGTGCCAATGTCAATTTGGAGGGACGTGTAGCTGTCCTTGACATAGAGGGCTACACCCCCACCCCTTTTATCTGCACGATCATGCTTGTAGAGGGTATAGCCATCTATACCTGTGGCCCAGTCATAGGTGGAGTCCCACCAGGTCTCTGTTATCCCTATGAGGTCATAGTTATTCTTGTTTAGCAGGAGGACCTGTTCCTCTTGTTTATTCCCCAAGCTCCTGGCATTGGTATACAGGCAGGCAAGTGTCCCACTGGGGGCCCTTGCCTTCCCCACTGATCATTCCGGGGCTAGGGTAGGGGTGGGTTCCCTTAAGTGCTTTGGCCTGCTGGATTTACAAGGGTTACCCAGCAGGCCAGCAGTAGTGGTAATCCTGCCAACCCCTAGCGGGCTCAGTTTAAAGCCCGGTTGAGCAGGTCAGCCAGGGTGGCTGAGAAGAACCTCCTTCCCAGTGGAGTATCAGGGGGGAGGACAGTATTAGTATCAGTAACAGTATTGGGAATGTAAGTTGGGGAGGAGTCACAGTTTTGGTCAGAACACAGAACAGACAGGATATCCATTGTCTTTGAAGGATGCTGGTTCACAGAGTGTAGAATTGGATAGGAGTGGCCAGTGGCCTATATTGGAAAGTTAGAGAGGGCAGAATCAGCAGATATAAAAGTGGCTTGCGATTCATAGATTGATTGTAAGGCTGGAAGGGACCTCAGAAGATCATCGGGTCCAGCCCCCTGCACCAGGCAGGAAAGACAACTGAGGTCTTTGTAGCAATTACTCCTGGTTTTCCTCAAGGGTACCCTGGTGAACAGTTGTTCACCAAGCCCTTGATGTATTCCCCTGATGTAGCAGTAAGCTGCTATCAAGTCCCCTTTCAGCCTTCTCTTTTTTATAGGTGTTGACTGAGTGGGCCTATATGGACTCTAGTGCTTGTTTGCAAAACCTTATTAAAGTGAATGGGAGTTTTCCCTGGTAAGGAGTCCTGGATTTGCCCCCTCTTTACATGAGATAGGTAGTATAAAAACTGGTGGATGGTGAGTGTTAGATAAAGACTTCTAGGAAAGGGCTACAAGGGATAGGTTAAAGTTTTAAAGAACATTAAATTATTTTAGTTGGAGCTGGGAGTGTCATAGGTTACCACACGCTTCCTATTATAAGATCCAATTCTACAGAGTTGGAGGACTATGTAGGAGGAGAGGGTTAGGAGCCAGGATGAGTTACATAGAAGAAAAATGGATCAGGGACAGCATTTGGGATGCAGTGGTTAGAAACTGAAGGGAACAGGCACGGAAAGACCTGTAACCACTAGTCTACCCTCCCCTCCAGACCCTGGAATTGGAATCTATTTCAGAGCTTTTACATTTTTCTGCTAACATCAAATATCAGTGAGACTCACTGGCAAAGTCTATCACTTCCCTAGTGGCCGGTCCATGTAAAGGATAACAGCTTACTACTGCCACCTGATACAGCATAAATTGAATGGTAAAGATCAATATGAATGTAGGTACAGTAAAAGCTCTGTTATCCGGCATCCCCTGGGAATGGGGGATGCCAGTTAATCAAATGTGCACCATCTGGTGCACTCCCTGGTGTCAGTGTGCTGGGGGACAGGGAGGGGGTCCCGCACAGGCTGCTTTTTTCCCCTCACACAGGCTGCTTTGCCCTGGGCTGAAAAAATGGCAAAGAAAAACTCAGCTCGCGGCTGCAAAACATCACTCAGATGCCGGTTAATAGAGTTTTCCAGCTAATAAAGTGCCCGTTAACACAGCTTTTACTGTATTAAGGTTCCAATCCTGCTGGTGGCCTAAACTACAGGTCTGTGCGATTTCATCCGATAGATGAGATTTCTTTTTTTTAAATTTGATTTTCAAAACTAGGAGGTTGCATTAAAAATGTGTGTTACAGAAAAGAACATCCAAGCTTCAAAAATAGTACTCAAGATTTGGAATCCCAGGATTGAAGCTGTCTCCATAAAGATGGGCCAAATCAGCCCCTTTTATTTATAATCTCTTCCACTTCAGTACAGTAAAAGCTCTGTTATCCGGTATACCCCAGGAATGGGGGATGCCAAATAACAAAATATGCCAGTTAATTGAGTGGCCCTGGCCGCCGCTTCTCCCGCCATGTCGGGCATCCCTCCGCCCCTCCCACGGCATTTCCGCCTGTCCTGCAGGCCCTGCAGGCCACACAGGACAGGGAGGCAGGTCCTGCATGGCCCTACACAGTCTGTTATGCCCCCAGGCTGTGGGGGCTCAGCAGCGCGGGCTGCTTTGCCCCGGGCCATGGGGGCTTGGAGAAACCAGAAGTGCCACGGTGGGCACTTCCGGTTTCTCTTCATCTTATAAGCTGGCATGCCGGTTAGCGGAGCATGCTGGCTTGTAAGATGCCGGATAACAGAACTTTTACTGTATTTTAGATAAAATGTAATAAGGACTAAAATCTGGAAATGTGAACAATGAATGCAAAAACCAAACAGTCTTCTCAACCCATTTGTTGCGTTTCCAACTGAGAGGTCTAAACCTTCACTTTCAATTACAGAGGTAAAGATCGATGCCGGCATTTTGTAATTAATTATTTACGGAATGGACATTATGTAGTGTCTGGAGATACTTGCACCCATGAAAGTCTTGCAGACCTGATTGAATATTATCAGACTTCAGAAATTGAGCCTTTTGGAGAGAATCTCATGACAGCTTGCACTCAGGTACGTTAAGCTCTTCAGAACTCAATCAGTTCTTGATAGAATAATGGGATTAAATTTACTGACATTTATCCTCAGCTCAAGGCAACAGAATTAAAGTACTAGTTTCTACATCTGTTTCTACCCAAGGAAGCAAAAGATAGGTTCCCAATGTCAGGAGCAGCTGCTGGTGTATAAGGATGGGAGTGTGATGTAGAAGTTAAAGGGATCACCTTCCAGACTGAAAGGTGGAAACTTAAACTATGGAAGACAGTTCAGAGAGCTGCACCTTTCAGCCAACACCAGGCTTTGGTTGCTATTGTTTCAGAATTACATTAAATAGTAATAGAATAATTTACTTGGTTAAAATAAAAGATTGTAGCTTTAATGTAAAGAACAGCAGGTAATGCTGGCCATGGACAGATTTGAAAGGCACCACGAAGAATTTTTACAGTAGTTCTAGAAGTCAGAACTACACATACAGAGCCACTAAGAACAGATGGCCTAAAACCACCACTAGACTCTAGGTCTGGGAGAAATATGTGGGGTGGAAACATAGAAGCTGTCCAGACAGAGGTTCTTGTTATGTACGACTGTAATGCATTTGAAATGAAAAACACTAACAGATTCCAATTATACCCCACGGATATTACTAACAGCACAAATCTCAAGCTTATGTATACATACAAATATTAAACCTATGAATAATTCCTGTTCCTTATGTAAGACAAAGATGCTAGAGGCTTGAATCTCATCAGCAAAGCCTACAATATTGATATCCAAAAGATTTTGATTAGGAGACAGGTGATGGATCATAACAATGAGAAGGCACAAGAGTATCTGATCAGATACTGTAAGCTAACTTTAAAAGAAGTTACAGAGATCTGCCAATCAGCAGAAAAAGTGAACTTGCAGAAGTGGGGTGAGGATTTTCACAGTGGCCAATGCTACAGAACTCGAGTTACAAGCATAAGCCTATGCACCTTTCTCTAAGAGCCAGTTTGGGTATGTGGAAGCTGTAAGATGTTGGTTTTTAGCCTCTGGCCCACTGACCCCTGGGAGTCCACTGACTATGTCTAACGGGTCTGTGAAAGATAACTATGATTGATCAAAAGTATGCGAATACTCATGCATACAATTCATAGGGGTCCACACCTCCATTCAACATTTCTTAGGGGTCTGCAAATGAAAAAATGGTTGAAAACCACTGCTGTAGGAGATGCACATCCTCTGTGGACTGGGCACAGTGGAAGACTTAATATACCCAATTTGGAGGGTTACACATGCTTTATGTAAGGAGGACAGCTTCATCAAAGCAAGAGATCTTGAAGTCTGGAGCTATTATTGCTCGATTTGAGATTTCTAAGCAGTAAGAGCTGACAACAGACATTAGTTTACAGTAAATACTGGTATTTTAAGGCTTTCCTAGATGACTGTGAAAGGACAAGGACTCACTGAAGACTTGAGGAATTATTTGATGTACAGCTAACATATTTACATTTAGATGCTATTATAAAGGGAAGGATTCATTGAGCAACTGTTATTATGTAAACATATGGGATTGTGTTAGAGGTCTGTAATAGTTCAGTAAAAGAATGCAATTGGTGTATACAAGCTCTCTTGCTCTGATGCAATATCTAAGTTATTAGCAGCCTATCAGGCAACATATGGGCAATTAGAAAATATGAAAAAGAAACACAGACACCTGCATTTCTTTGTACCCTCTCATTTTGCCAGTGGATGTCACTCCGCATTTACTGTTACCCTACCACTCCAGAGGGAGAGCTATATAACAAAAGGTACTTTTGCAGAATGAATTAAACTAAATCTTTCTAACCGAATTAATTTACCTCATTAGTAAATCATGAAGTGGCCATGGTATTTGATAAAGAAAAGAAGTGAACATGACTGTGATCATAGTAGTCAAGAAAGGTGTTTTAGTAAGAAAGTTCATTCTTTCCACAGAGACTAGAAAAAAGTGTATATGATGAAATCTCTTGGGACCAGCAAACTTCTTCAAAGCAAAGTAAATCAAGCAGTGGAACAGTGAACCCACTGCTGATAAAGCAAGTGTCTGGTAGTTTACCAACCACTGTACCAAAGAAGGATACCCCCAGCAGTCCTGCTCAGGATGAAAAACTCCCAAGCTTACCTCCAAGATCAAAGAAAACACTTCAGGAGCAGCAGAGAAACTTGTCAGGAGAGAAAAAACACTTCAGTCATGAGGTAGGTTTTTGCAAAATGTAAATGGAATGGCCCAGTGCTGGGCACTTGCTGGGATTTCTCTGCAGCAGGCAGCACCTGATTTGTGCTACTAGGACCCCACTGATCTGGTGCAGTCCTACTCCAGGAAGTACTGTACCAAGCTGGGGACATTACAGTGTTGCTGAATTTGTTTCACTGGCTCTTTTATTAGACCAACTAAGACAGGCTTGTCCAACATACGGCCCACGGGCTGCCATGCGGCCCTCCAGGCCATTTTCTGAGGCCCAAGGTGCTGCAACAGGAAACAAAAGTAAACACTGTACTTTTGTTTCGGGGGGTGGGGGGTGGTATGTGATACTACTTCCTGTGAGGTCTTTGAATATGGCTCGCTGGCCCACTGGGTGATAAAAAGTTCATGATCTGGCCCCACATTCAAAAAGATTGGACACCCCTCAACTAAGACAAAAAAATATATATATCTTTTTTCTGCAAGCTTTCAGCCATACATGCCCTTCCTCAGGCTCAGGAAAAATGAAAGGTGGTAAAAATACTATGTAAAAAGACTTTTTACTACCTTTACTTTTCCCTGAGCCTGAGAAAGGGCATGTGTGTCTGAAAGCTTGCAGAAAAAGATAATTTTTTGTGATTTCTTAGTTGGTCTAATAAAAGGTATCATCTCTGAATCAAGAGTTCTAGAGTTTTGCATTTCTTTTGTCTCAGACCAACACAGCTACCAAATACACCCCTTTTACCGGCTTTAACATTTCATCTTTGGACTTATTTTCTGCTAAACATGACTTTACCAGATACAACACATTTTGCCACCAAGCAAAGGGTGAAATTTAGAGATTCAGATAAATGGGACGTTGCACTCAAAATAATACTTAAGTACCCGGGTCTGGCATGAATTTGCTGTGTTGACTTGAGCAAACCACTTCCTTCCTCCTCCCTTAGCCTCCTCACATGCAAAGTGGGAATAACAACACTTACAGCTGTCTACCTGATAGTGTTGTAGCTAACCAACAACTGTGAAGTGCTATGGCATGGGTAGACAGTAAGTGGAATTGAAGAGTTCCACCTGTACTGACTTTGTGTAAAAGAAGAATTTGAATTTCATTCTATTAGAAAATATCTCCTAGTCTTTTAAGAACGGTTATAGGAAACTAATAACCCTGACGGACCTAGCAACAATCATGAAAAACTTATAGATTAGTTTGTAATGTATGTGTACAGAGCATTGTGTTCTGTAGATTTTCACAGTGCATTATTCTATTACCTATATCAAAGGCCAAACAAACTTCTTTTCCATAAAATATTGTTGAAAGCTTCTAAAGAGTTCTTGTTGAATTTCCAAGCGTGACCCAAGGCTTTTTGATGGAGGTTTTCACAATGTTACAGAAGAAGATTTAGCAAAACATATTGCTTTAAAATTAATGCCCCTCCATTGCCCTGACAGTCTCCACTGCTGCTTTATTGTTAATCAAGCCAAATTCCGCATTACCTTTACAAGAATTTTATATTAATTAAAGCAACAAGATTTGTAAAATGCCTGAGATACTCTGATTCCATTGCCTGCCAAAGCCACAGTTTATCACACAGCTTTGTGAATGCATTGTATTTTACATACGCCATTGATAGATAACAATCCCATCGCTCTCCTTCCTTTCCTTCATGTCAGGATTTAGACATGGCCCCACCACTGCCGGACAGGAGCAGCTTGCTTATGCCTGAGATACTCAAACACGACTTAGATGATCAAGGAACTACGGTATATGCAATGCTGAACAAATACCACCTAAGTGACAGGGACCATGGTTTGGAGACACACTCTGCCACTGACAAAGTCCTCAGTGAGAATCCAGGCTGTTCAGCACAAGGGGAACCCCAGCACAAACCAGGAGAACTAGACCAAGCAAGCTACACTCGTGGCAAAAAAATAAGCACTGTGTATGCTGTTACTAAACAAACTGAACATTTTTACAGTAAAAAACTTGACCTGACAAAGCCATCCCCCCAAGACATTGTGTATTCTGAGGTTAACCTAAAACAAGACAAATGCCATTCTTCACTTACACAAGGTCAAGGTATCTTTTCCCTACCTTTTCCTCTATCAACTCCTTCAGAAACAAAGTTGACATTAAGTGCTCCTGCTTCAATGCTCTCTAAGTTGTCTAAGTTACCCAATAAAGCTGGAACCTCCATGGAGTCCCAGGGTTCAGAACAACTATATGCAACCTCTCTACACTTCAAAGGCCAATCACAAGAGAAGATCACTAATTCACTGACACACATCACATATGGACAGACTGAGAAGGTGAAATCCTCTACTGCTTTTGCTTCTGGCTTTGGTAATCTAAGCAATACTTATGAACAGATTCCTATTGGCTGGTCAAGGTCATCCAGTGATGACCTACCTTCAGAGAAAATTTCCAAGTCTCCTTTAATAAAAGCTGATGTTACTTATGATCAGGTGTCTACTTTGAACATAAGATCCTTCAGAACAGAGAACCATACTGATAATTCATGTGAAAAGACCCCTGAGCATTGTCTCAAAGGTTCATCTGCAAAGCAAGTTCCTGGTACTAATCACACACATGAGCTAATTTCCATGGACCAAGTAAAGGGAGCAGAAGCAAAATCAAACCTGAAGGTACAGTTTGATTTTACTTTTAACATTTGTTATCTACCGCTCATCAATATTCAAAAGGGTCAGATCCTAAGGTTTTTTGGCAAATTCCTATTAAAGTCTTAGTGCTCTAAGAAGGTACAATGTGAGCACACACACAAAAAAAAAATGGCTTTGATGCCAAAAGAAAAAGGCAGGGGGTCTTGATAACCAAAATATTTTTTTGCAAATTTATCCCACTGCTATAAGTGCTCTCTGTTACATGCAAGATAAAAAAAAAAAAAGAGTAATCACCACATGGCATGACAACAGGACTTTTTGGCAGGCAGATGCAGTAGTTTCTGGAATGTTCTTCCAAGAGTGGTGGTAAACTTTGGTGGGAACATGTAAAACTTCTCGGGGGAGTGTACTAGTAACTGTAATATATGTGCATTGCAATATTGCATTGTAATATATGCGCATTGCAATAATGTGCAGGATTGAGGGGACCAAATGGGGTTTAGTTTATTGTCATTCCTAACTGTGGTTTTGGTGGTTAAATACAGTAAAATCTACTGAAAGGTTCAACACCTGGAGGGGATTTGATGAAATCACCGACTTGTTAGTTTTCAAGTATTAGTGATATTAAGATATATAAGCTTGTGCTGTCAGTAGCTTGGGAACTACTTCTTTTCATCTAAGA